AAGAATTAGTCTTCCTTCCTTTTATAAAAGAGGGAATTTAAATCCAAAAAGATGAAATGAGTCACATCATATAAATACTAATAACATAAATAAACTTGGTTCTAATTAGCCTCCTACTTTTCAGATGAGAGAGTATTTTTTATAGCTTTATTTATTTATTTATATGTGAAACTGAGGATCCAACCCAGTGCCTCTCACATGTTAGGCAAGCTCTCCACCACTGAGCTACAGCCCCAGCCCCCAGATGAGAGATTCTTGAGGCAAAATATGGAACCAGAGACATCAGTTTGCATTATATCTGCTGCATTCTTCTCTGTTACTCTTTTATTGTACACCTATCCTTGAACAAAGGATATTGAAATGAGTCAGTCCAGAGAGCACATCAAAAGCAAAACTTAATAGGCATGAAGCCAGGCATGGTGATGCACACCTGAAATCTCAGTGACTCATGAGGCTGAGGCAGGGTGAGGGCAAGTTGAGACCAGCCTCAGCAACTTAGCAAGACCCTGTTTCAAAATACAAAATACAAAGGGCTGGGGATGTAGTTCAGGGATAGAGCACCCCTGGGTTCAATGCCCAGCACGAAAACAAAAATAATAGACACCTATGGCAAAAACGTTGCAATGTCTGACATCAGCAAGGGGTTGGGCATGTATGCCTCAGTGCAGATTCTTGTTATACAAGTTAGTTATGTTCTGTTAAGTCTCCACAAACACTGAATTAGCCAATATGACAGCGTTATTAGCTTATCTAACATGAATTTTCTCTCTAAGGCACACACATGGGGAAATACAGGGCTAAGTTTCTGCAATTCTCTGGTCACAGCATTTTCGTCAACTGACCAGTCCATAACATTGTTTAATGTGTTTTCTGTTGAAGGACACTCTTTAATATACACTGTTGATTCATTAACATTCAACTCATGGCCAAGAGCACTATCGCTCATGCTTGAACAATGCTTATCTAACATGAATTTTCTCTCTAAGGCACATGGTGGCCTTTTGCACTGGGGAACACTAGACAGCGCTTCAGCATTATGCTTGGGGGTCATTCTAAATAGAGACATCACTCACAAAATATTAAACATACGGCACTACATAGACCATGGAAGGGTCAATGTTCACCGTATGGGAGCTGAAGACAGAAGGCAGCGCTCTCAGCTTCAGATGTCCCCACTGGGCAACTGACATTTTGGTCATTCTGTGCATATCTATGAATGGTTGCAAAAGTGCCTCAAGTATTGATTTGGGGAATACAAATACATTTTGGCAAGCAGGAGAATTTGCAAATATGGAATTCATATTTGACTGTGTGTGATGGGGGAAAGGGGAGAGGAATTAAGGGTTGAAGACAGATTATGTCTTGAAGGTCAAGCTTTATCCCATGGGTACAGGGCACCAGAAGTCACATATTGTTGGGGCCACGGAGTCACATATGTATATTAGTGGTGGGTTGAGGGATGGGGAGGGCCAGCCCCCAGAATCCCCCTCTTTTGAACTACAGTGAAAAAAGCTTAAGGGATAAGCCATGCATCTACCTGTTCAACACTTATTGAGCACCTACTGTATGCCAGGCACTGTGCTCAGTGTTGCCACCCTCACACAGCTCACAGTCTGCTGTAAGGAGACACAGTCATCTCAGGCAGGAAAACTCACAGGGAACTCATACAGGCTCCCATGAGGATGACTTGGGAGGCCACTGAGTTGGTGCTTAATAAATGCATTAAATTAATGAGTGCACCAGGGAAGACTCTCTTGAGGAAGAGATGTTTGAGCTGAGGCTGACGGGAGCTGGCCAGGAGGGGGAAGAGGGAACGGCACGTACAAAGTCCTAAGGCAACACACAAAGTATTTAGAAAGTGAAAGAACCCAAGCTAGGGAGGGAAGGGAGTGGCGAGAGAGGAGGCCGGGGAGGGGCAGTTCTGTGGGGCTTTGAGACCAGGGTGAGGGGCAATAGGAGACTTGGAAGGATTCTGAGGAGGACATCTTTGCACTTAGAAAGGACTGAGGGGATGGCTGAGGGCCGGGGGTGGGAGGAGGGGGGAGCTCAGGGAGGTCACTGCAGTTGTCCTGGGAGAGAGGGTGGAAATGGGTTTAAGATGTTTTGCAGGAAGAGCCAGCAGGCCTCGCTAATTGGATACTATGAGGTTGGAAGTTGCAGAGCAGCTAGGGTTCAGGTGTCCAGGTGGCAGAATTTTGTGGGGGGTGAGCTGACAAATGTGGTACAGTCATAGACGGAATCTGAGGGGTCTGGGGGCCACCCAGGAGTCAGCATCTGGGAGACTTCAAGATCAGCAGGCTTGAGGCTTGGAGGGGAGGCCTGGAGCCTCCATGCTGAGGCTGAGGAAGGAGGTCCAGAGGGAGTGCTGGGAGCCCCCATAGAGGAGGGGAGGAGATGGAGGCTGAGTAGCAGGTGCCTGGGAGGTGGGAGGAAAATGGCAGCAGGGGTTGGGACAAGAGGGGTAGATTCTGGAATACAAGTGAGAGTGATTCTGGGAGAAGGGAGAGTCCACCAGGTGTGAGCCTACGCAGAAGTCAAGGAGGTGAAGGCTGGGATGTATCCCAGGATTTGGCAACTAGAGATATTAGCAGGAGGGACAGAAAGCAGACTGGGGGTGCTGGGGCACGGTGGGGGGACTAGGAAGGAGGAGATAAATGAAGAGGACATTGCATGTACTTCTTGGTGTGAAGGGAGAGGTGAAGCTAAAGAAGGAGGAGCTGGAGGTGACCTGGGTGTTTGGAGTGGTGACAATGGCCTGGTGTGCAGTTGGTTGCTTATTGCTTGGGGAGAGATTTCAGAGTTTAAGTGTGCACGGAAAGGAGTCAACTTGGAGAAAGTTAAGGATGGTCAAGGGGAAGGAGTTCTTCCTGCAGGGGGCCCTGAAAAGGTCCAATATTGGGAGCACGGAGAAGGCTCCCAAGTTGCAGGGTCTGGTGGGTTTGGAATGAGAGGCATCTCATTCTGCCGTGGGATAGGAGGAGATGGGGATGGTGCAGGTCCACGCCACCCTGGCTGATTCTGTTTTAGGAGGTGTCTGAGGTTCTCCCATATGGAGGACACTACCCTTAGTTCTCCAGGCCAAGCGAGTGGCCCAAGGTCACACAGCTCATGGGTTGGTCCGCTGCCACCATGAGCTGCAAGAGCCATCCGGGGCTGGGGTCGGTAGGCTCCTGACCCTTACCCTGAAGAGCGCTGCGTCCTGCTGTGCCTGGTAGCCCTGCTTGGCTGCGTGCTTCCAGGGGATGCGGAAGAGGGTCTTGTCCGGGTCTTCCCAGCGCAACCCGGCGTAGAGTCCGCTCTCGATCTGTGCCACTAGCCAGTCGCGGAGACGCAGGGGACCCCCGGTTCTCAACATAGGTCCATTGCTGATCGGGACCCTCTCTTCCTCTTTCCGCCAGGGGCCGTTGGCCATCTGGGGCTCTGTGAAGCGAGGCCTGGATCCCGAGGGGACCCGCACGGGTTCAGGGATCACCGGGCCCCTGGATGGCGCGCGGAGCCCAAGGAAGTGAAAGTCTGAGCGAGGGTTTCGCTTTCTGTTACGTCCCCTCCCGCTTTCCTTTTGCCCCTCCCCGCGAAAGATTGGCCCGAGGGCGCTGGGCCTCACGTGGTGGTTGTAGAGAGCGCTCCGGTGGGTGGCCTGGCTCTGGGTCTGGGAGGAAGGTGCTCGACTGCTACCCAGGGAACAAACCCTGCCCCACTCCTGCGCCCTTGGTCTGCTCTGCCTAGCCCCCTGGACACTTGTTGGTCTCTTGATTTTCCTTTCTTCTGTGCGCCCTCCCTTCCTCCCTCCTTCTCTTCCTCCCTCTCTTCCCATGCCACCCCCCCCCCAGTGTCCCTAAATTGCCTAGGCTGGCCCCTGAAGTCCTGAGCTTAAGAGATTCTCCTGGATCAACCTCCCCAGTGGCCGGACCACACCTCCCCTGGCTTTCAGTCTCTTTTTCAGAACCTGGACTGGCTAGGTTGGAACCTGTTTCTGGTGCCAACTCCCGACCCCATTGGAGGAATCAGACTTTCTGGGCCAGAAGCCCAGGAACCCGAATCTGAAGGAGGGATTCTGATGCAGGTGGCCCAGAGCCATACTTCTTTCTTCAGATATTGGGAATCCCCATTTACTGACTGCTCACTGTGGTGCTGGGCCTGAACCCTTCCCTATGGTGCCTACATTGGTTCTCACAAGAGCACAGGAGACAGTATAATTGCTTATTTTGTGGTGCTGGGGTTGAATCTGGGGTCTCAAACAAGCTAGGCAAGCCGTCTACCACTGAGCTTCAACCCAGCCTCATTACCTATTTTAACATGAAGAAGACCAAGGCTCAGAAAGTTTGAAGCCCTGTAACAAAGTCCCAGAGTCTGGTGGGAGAGTCAGCATTCAAAGCTGACTGGGGAGAGTCCAGAGACCTAAATGGTGCCCGCAGCCTACCTCCTGGCAGCTATACTTGGGATTTATGGATTCCTGGTAAGGTCTGTGATCCTGTGAAATAGTACATAAATTTTGTCACATCTATGCATTTTATGTTTCTTTCGTTCAATTGTCAAAAGGGGATTCCTGACCTGAAAGATTTTAAGAAATTCAGATTGCTCCAGCCCCTGGTGAAACAGGGAGGAGAGAATAACATCCTCTCCTGAAGCAGGCAGAGAGCGGGGCTCCAGCCAGCACTGACCAGAGACCCAAGCAAGCACTGTCCCTCATGTGCACCTGTGTCCCCCTTCCATGTGCCAGCAGCACTTCCAAAGACACAGTCTGGGTTTAGACTCCAGTGGAGCAGAGCACAAATTATTTCATATGATTAGCTACAAGAATAATGACAGTCACCCTCAGTATTTGTGGGGGATGGGTTCCAGGACCCCTTTGGATACTGAAATCCATGGATGCTCAAGTAGTATTTGCATATAACCTACGTATATCCTAGACTTTAAATCACCTCTCATGTAAATGCTGTGTAAATAGTTGTTAAACTGTATTGTTTAGGGAATAATGACAAGAAAATTAAAAGTCTGTGTATGTTGAATACAGATGTGATTTTTTTTTCAGACACTTTTTTGCCCAAGTTTGGTTAAATTTTCAGAGTCTGAGGCAGGCTGTACAACTAAGCAGAAGTCCTCAGTGTATTGGACCATCCCTTCATTTTTCTAGGTTGCAGAGGGTGGTATCTAGAGGGTGGGGTCTACAGCCAGACTTCCCCACCACCTGCTACCTGATGACCTTGGGCGCCAGCCTCAGTTTCCTCAACTGTTGAATAGCCTGAGATGCAGGTAGAAAGTTTAGCATACAGCCCGAGTGAGCACAAACACAAATGAGTGGTGTGCTGTGAGTCCAAGGCGGTGGAAGAGTGCTGGAAGAGGGGAGGGAGCATGTTGAAGGACACAGAACACCCGATCAGGGGGCTTTGTTGTCCTCCAGGTGATGGGGCCTGTGGTTTTTTAAATAGGGGAAGACACCATCTGAGTGTTTTAAACCAGTTGGAGGGTGGTACCATAAATTATCCAAGAAGACACAGGCTCCCTACACTCCCTAGTAGCAAAATGGTCCACTTCCTCACCACCTGGTATGTTTCCTTTTTCTTACCTGGTATCTCACTAGAATGTCAGCAAGGTGAGGGCAGAGGTCTTACCCACTGCTGTAAATCCAGTGCCCAACACAGTGCCTGACATACAGTAGGTGCTCAATGAACATTTGGTAAATGTAGGAGAAATAGAAGATTGGGATGACAGGAAGGTCATTTCATTCAGGCCCCCTACACCCAGGGCTTGGTACAAAGTTAGAAGCCCATAGCAGTGGCTGTTGGGTTATTGCTACTTCAAACTCCTCAGCTCTGATGACCTCTATTCATTCATTCTTGGGGTCAGTCCCAGCTCTTGCTTTTAAACTCTAGCTGGGAAGGATGATTCCCACTAGCTGGAGGTGGGTTCTCCCCACCAGTAACCTCCCAAATCAGGAGCTACTTCCTACCAACTGTCATGAGATTTAGGCTTCCCAGTTCTAGCTGTGTGTTCCTGAGCAAGCTGCCTGACCTTTCTGAGGCTTACATCTTCCCCTAGAATAAAGTAAACTTAAGCAATGAGAGGTCAGGTGTTGGGGAAGCGCTACTGGACCTTACTGGCCAGTCCCTGTATGGAGAAGAGGTGGGGGCTTCGAGAGATGGAAGGAAGTACTTCGGAGCCTCTCAGGAGGGAGATCAGGGCTCTGGGAGAGAGGAGGGGCTGTGTCAGGAGTTCGCGGTCCCAGGATCCAGCTCACCTGGCCCTGTTTTCCGCAGACAACAGGGTCTGGCCTTTGTTGAACGACAGGCACGGGGTCAGGCAGCTTTCGTGTCTCTTTAATATCCCTCCAGCCCCGTCCACCCCTACCCTACCCACTTCCCGCTCCCGCCGCCACTACGGGTGGAAAGCGGGGCCCCTCCCCCAGCCCAAGGACTAAGGCACCAGGTGGCTGCAGCTGGCCGGCCCGGACACAGACGCACAGAGGGAGGACACACTGACCGCAGACGGACGCAGACAAGCGAGGTGGGCGTGGGGGCAGGGATCGGGCCTCTGCGGGGCTCCCACAGCCTCTGGGCCCGTCCTGACGGTGGGGGGCCCAGACAGCCCCCGAAGGGGCGGAGCGGGAGGCCGAGGGGAGCCGCTTGGGGAGGGGTCCTCACTTGCCGCCCTTGCGGGACAGACACCGCGGGAGGCAAGAGAAAGTCTGCTTGACGCGCGCCAGCAGCGGCAGCGACCGGTGGGCGTCCCGCGTCGTGCGCGGCACCAGGCGCTGCAGGGTCCCCTCCGAGGCTGACGAGTGCGGCGGGGTCGGGGCGGCCGAGGCGGCCGAGGCGGCAGAGCCCTGGCGGCAGCGCTTGCACAGCGGCAGCAGCGCGCGTACGTCCTCCTCGTCGCGGAACGGGCTCTCCCCGAAGCGCTCCTCCAGCTGCCGGCGGAGCTGGGGTGGCCGCTGCGGAGTCAGGGTCTGTCCCGCCCCAGGGCCGCCGCCCTCGGCCCGCTGCCCACCCCGCCCGCCCTCGCGAGCATCCCTTGGCCTCCCTTCTCGGAGTTCCAAGGCGTCGCCGAGAGTCCCTCTCCCTCTGCAACTCCCTCCATTTTCCAGATTTGCTAAAGTGACCCCCACCTACACAGCGGGGGCCGCATGAACCCCTCCCTCTGGCCTCTGACCACATCGGTGGTCTCAGCAACTGCGCTCACCAGGGCTTCTTTCTAGCACAGCCCTGTAGATAAGCCTCTGGGGACCCTTCTGTCACCCTGCTGGGAGCCTTCAGGCCGTTCCCAGCTCTCTCCTCTTTCCTCCCTCCTCTCTCACCCTTTGTGCCCTGGGTGACCTCAATTCCTGAAATTCTGGGAGAGATAAGGAAGAGGATTGCTTTGACCTCAGAAAGATCCAACGTTGGGGTGTGGCAGGGCCAGTTTTCCCCCCAAGAGGTTAAACCCTCAAAACTTTAGGTGGCAGGCAGATAGATAGGGCCTGACGGCATGTTGGGACACCTGGCCAGACTGAAGGGTCTACAGACTGGTCTAGGGGCAGCCCCCAAACCCACCTGGCTGTTAACAGAAACTAAACTCAGGAGCTGATTAGTTCAAGACCCCAGGATAATCTGCCAGATCTGAAGCCTGGGCTGAATTCCTCCCAATCCTGCTCAGGTTCAAGTGGAAAGAAGGGTCCCCGGACCCCCCCCCCCCCAGTCCAAGCAGATCCTGCCAGCCCTTACCTTCCGGGAGTTTCCCCAGCCAAACTCCTCCAGCTGCTGCCTGAAGCCTGGGTTGGGGTTGGCGATGGGCCGGGTGGCCTTGATGGCTTCAAGCACTTCCCTCCAGCCCAGCCCCGTCACCGTCATCACATATGCTGTCACAATGGTGGTACTGCGGGAGATGCCTGCAAAGCTGGGGTCCCCAGCAGCCCCCAGGCTTCAGGTAAGGTTCCATCTCCCCCATACCTCCCAGGCACCTGCCCACTGCAGCGCCCCTGCCCTTTCCTCCAACCACAAGCAACTGGCCAGGACCTCTCCTCCTAGCTCCTGGTCTTTGCCCATGAGATTCCCTCTGCCTGGCATTCTCTCTCCCACATCAAGGGCAAAACCTCATTCATTCATTCAAAAAATATTTCCTCATCATCTTTTCCTTTTTCAGGTCCTGGGGATACAGGGGGGGCGGATAAAAAAGCAATGGTCTCTGCTGTCCTGGAGCTCAGTAAGTTGGGGGACACAGACACTAACCAGAGACATGATTTCAGGTGTTAAAGATTAGTCTGGGGCCTAGGAGTTCCACAGAGGAAGAGGTGCTGATCTAGTGGGGATGATGAGGAAGGGTCAGGGAAGAGGTTTCAGAGGTCTTGAGAGGTAGGTAAGGGTCAGCCAGCCATGTTCTAGGCAGCGTGCACCAAGACGGTAAGGTGGAAGTCTGGTGGATTTGAAATGTGGGAGTCTAGTGCAACTGGAACCGGGGAAGGAGGGAGAGAGAGGGCAAGGCTTGAGACAGTGGTCTCATGGAGGCTCCAGAAGTGCCGGCCAGGCTCAGTCTGGTTCTGCCAGAGCCCCAGCCAGGCACAGGACAGGTGCTTGGTGAGAAGTTGTGGAATGAATGACATAGGCAAGGCCTGGGGTAAATGAGTAGATCAAAAGTCTCTCCTCCTAGCCTGGATTCCCCACCTCACAAGCCTGGGAGGCAGGAGAGGGGGAGCCAGGAGGAATGGACTGCCCAAGTGCTGTGTGACCCCAGCCCAGTTCCTGCCCCTCTCTGGGTCATCTCTCTCTCTCTCTCTCTCTCTCTCAACAACTCAACAGCCCTGTCAGCTCAACAACCTTTTCCCCATTTTACAGATGTCAAAACTGAATCACAGGGAGAAACAACTGCTGGGCTAGGACCACAGGGCTGGTAAAGAACCGGACCCTGACTTGAGCCTGTGGGTGGCTCCTCTGGATGAATGGCGGACTGTGGGTGTTGTGGCTGTGTGTTGGGGATGGAGGACAGCCACCAGCTCCCCCTCAACTCACCAGTGCACAAGGCAGTTCCCCCCATTGAGCCGGCAACAGTGGATGAAGCTGATACATTCTTTGAAGTGCTTTTTGCTGGAGAAGAGAGGACAGAGGAGCGAGTATGGGGCGGTTTCCCGGGAGCCCTTTCCTCGTGGGACTAGCAAGGGACAAGGAGCCCTGGGCGCTCAGGGCAGCCAGCGTTTGCAGGGAGCAGGGGGAGGTGTGGGAGGCAGCTGTGGTGGCAGGCCAGGCCAGGAGGGGCCGCCGTCCCGCAGAGCGTCCCTGCAGGGTCCTGGGGTCAGGTTTTGGCTTTTCAAGGAAATAGGAGGAGACCCCGGGTCCCACTTCTCAGGGTCTTTCAAGAGTGGGACCCCGGGGTCACCTCCTACCTATGTCCTTGAAAGGCCACACGTAAGAACATCTAGGAACAATGACAGTCAGCCGTGGGCTGGGAGCAGAATTCCCCACGGGGCAGGAGTTTAGCCTGGGTCTATCCCGAGCTGAAGGGCACGGATGCGGATAACTCTAGCAAAAATGTCTGTTTTCCTGAGCCCCCACTACACAGTAGGTCCTGTCCTAGATCCTTAAGGCATGTCATCGGACCTTTGAAAGCCTCCTTGCCTCTGGTCAGAACCCTGTTTTACAGATGAGGCTCAGAGATGGGAAGTGATTTGCCCAAGGTCACACAGCAGTGAATGGCAAAGGCTGGCTGGAACCCAGATGTCTTAACTCCAAGGCCAGGAACAGGCTGAGCCTCACCTTCTGGAATCTGCTGGTGCACCTGATCCCTAGAGGCAGGGAACTGTCCCCATGTCACTGCTGAAGAGACTACTGAGGCTCAGGAATGAGGGATGGGGACCTCCCACAAGAGCAGGGTTGAGACAGAGTCAAACTTGGGTAGAGGTGCCTGTGACAGCTGTCCGGTGTGAGTATTCTCTGTCCTTCCTCAGGCCTCCCCTCCCCCACTGCCGGAGGTAGCTCTGTTGGTCATTCAGGGAAACTTACATGGGTACTTCGGGGGTGTCAGCCACCGGGATGCGAAGGTAGGTGATATCCTGCAAAGACAAAGCACACCTGGAATCCCAGTGACTCTGAAGCCCGAGGCGCAGAAACACAAGTTTGAGGCCACCTTGAGCTATTTAGCAAGGCTTTTTCTCAATCTAAGTTTTTTTGTTGGTTTGTTTTAAAGGGCTGGGGGTGTACCTCCTTGGTAGAGTCCCCCTAGGTTCAATCCCCAATAGCACATAAACAAGCAAAAACCCACGCTAAGGGAGTGAGGACCTTTCCCTCCCCCATCTCTCCTTGGCCTGAGCAACCCAAGTGCTGTGTGACCCCAGCCCAGTTCCTGCCTCTCTCTGGGCCACTCTTCTCTTTCTGTCCAAAGAAAGTAGATACCATTTCTGTGAGCCTCCCAACTCTGTCTGTGATTCAGAGCTTTCTGAGCAGACAATGCCCTAACTTCATAGGTGTCTTGGACATGAGGACTTGATAAGAAGGACTTGGCAAACCTTTTATCCAATAGCCTGGGAAAGTGTCTCCCCTGCAAGTGGAGATTGCAAAATTACATAGTAAAAAGGGCAGAGCAGATTTGTTTATCTTGAAAAGAAGTAAAAATTATAAAACCAAGTTTACATATTAGTCAAGGAATGAACTGCGGGTAATTTTTCCAACACATTTGCTGTGATACCCTTTGCTTCATGCTTATTAATTTCCACATAATTTTGTCAAGATTCTTTCTGCTCACATCCTGAGGCCCTCATTGCTTTTCTTGAGGACCTCCTTTGATACTTTGGTGTTCAAGTGGCCCACCTCCAGGCCCTCATTTGCCCAGGGCTTCGTGTGAAGTCCTGGCCTTCTCTACCTAGCTCACACTCCCCAAGGTCATGAAACCCTGCATCTTTTGCAAGGTTTGCAATTCCACTTTGCAAAACATTTGGCCTTGGGTTTGCATGATATTATCAAACTCTGCTAAATTCACGGGTGCCTGGGATGGAGAGAGGCTAGTGAGAGGAGGGAGGGCCGCTGGGGCACAGGCTCATTTTTGTAAGCAGTCACCTCACAGGTAAATATATGAATAACTGACAACCCTCCCTGCGCAGGGATTTAGATTGCATATTCTCAATACTCTAGAACGAGGCTGCCCTATAAAGCAAACTCACACTCCCAATGGCTTGGAAATTTCTTCTTTGACACTGAAAGTCATAGATTATTGGAGGGTGCCCTTAGAGACTATCAAATCTGTCACATGAAAAAATGGAGGCCTAGGGCTGGGGTGTAGGTCAGAAGAAGAGCACCTGCATAGTATGTCTGGGCCCAGGGCTTGACCCCCAGCACCTCAAAAAAGGACCCAAATGGAATAAACTGAGCCCAGAGAGGGAAAGGACCCTACCCCCCATAGCACATCTGTGGCAGAACAGATTTTCTTTTTTGGTAATAGGGATGGAATCCAGGGCCGCTTTACACTGAGTCACATCCTCAGCTCCCCAGCCTTTTTTTTTTTTTTTTTTTTTTGTGGTTCTGAGGACTGAACCCAGGGCCTTGTGCATGCAAGGCAAGCACTCCACCAACTGAGCTATCTCCCCAGCCCTTGCAGTTCCTCTTTTTTATGTTTTATTTTGAGACAGGGTCTCACTGTGTTGCTTAGGGCCTGGCTAAGTTGCTGAGGCTGGTTTTGAACTTGAGATCCTCCTGCCTCAGCCTCCCGAGCCGCTGGGATTACAGGCATGTGCCACCACGCCTGGTGACACAGACTTATAAACAGATGAGGAGGAGTCTCTGTTTCTGTGATAAGAATTTTAAACTTTGGTATTATTTCAGTTTTAATTTGTTGAGCATCTGTTATGTGGCTGTCAGCCACTCAGCGAGGTAGGTACTGATATAAAAAATTCCATTTAGTAGGTCAGGTAACTGAGGCTCCGAGATGGGAAGTCTTGTGCCCAAGGTCAGCAAGAGAACAACTGATGAAGATGAGAGCCCAGGTCTCCTACTGCAGGGCCTTTGGTCTAGACTGACTGCTTCCCTCCTCAGTCCTGACACCCTCACCTCCCCTCTCCAGGATTCCATGTCAATGCAGCCCCTGCAGTGGGGACCACACTTTGCAGTGTTGGAGGCAGATTCACCACCCTGCATTCTCTTTGCATCTTCACAACAGCCCCTGGGGGACAGTCAGAGTTGGAGATCAAAGGCCCAGAGAGGTGAAGTCACAGTCCAAGGTTGCATAGCAAGACACATCCCAGAATCATTTGTTTGGAATCATCCATTCAGTAAGGCAATGGGAAGATCTTGTCCACCCTCCCCTGTCCAGTACTGGGAATTGAACACAGGAATCTTGACCACTGAGCTATGTCCCCAGCCCTTATAATTATTTCAAACTTCAAACAGGGTCTTGCTAAGTTGCTGAGGCTGGCCTCAAATTTGCAATATCCCTGGGCTGGGGATGTGGCTCAAGCGGTAGCGCGCTCGCCTGGCATGTGTGTGGCCCAGGGTTCAATTCTCAGCACCACATACAAACAAAGATGTTGTGTCCGCCGAAAACTAAAAAATAAATATTAAAAATTCTCTCTATTAAAAAAAAATTGCAATATCCCTGCCTCAGCCTCCTGAGGAGCTGATATTGCAGGCATGCGCCACTGTGAGGGCCTTTGTGGCTTTGTGAGGGCCTTTTTAAGCATCAAGGAGAGACTTCTTGGGCCAGATGTCCTGTGCTCAAATCCCAGCTGGAAAGTTTCTTAGATGTGTGACCTTAGGTAAGTTAATTTACCTCTCTGGGCCTCAGTTGCCAAATAAGGATGATAATATAAACCAATCCAATGTTGAAGAAGGCATAAGCATGAGTCAAGAAGACAAGACAGGACCTGGCATATGGTAGGTAGTTGATAAATGGGTGCTATGAGGATCTAGAGCCCATCCCCCACCTATGCACAGCCCTGGAATGGGGGTTCAGAATACCTGCAGAAGAGGCTGGGGTGACTCATGAATAGAGATGATGTGTGTGATCTTATTCCGGCCCAGCTGATCCGGGTCTTTGGCATCTGAAAGAAACAGGTGCTTGCGCCAATTTGGCAAGTATGACTTATTGGGTACTGAGGCTAAGTACAGCGAGAGCCGCCACCCAGCTCTGCACCTCACTGCTTCGCTCCCGCTGGGCCCCTCCTCCCCTGGCTGCGGTTCCTTCCCCAGGTCCTGTACACCCCGAGGCTCAGAATGGCCTCTGGGGCACCCAGAGGACACAGCCCAGCCTCTCCCTGCCTTGCTCACGCTGTTCTTTCCATCCCAAACACCCTTGCCCAGCACATTCTTTGACCCAGCAGTTCTGCCTCTAGGAATCTGGGGACAGAAGCGTTTGTACACACAGAAAGCTGTTGGGTGGCAGACAGTGTTCTCTGCAGCTCGGTTCATATCAGGAATAGTTAAACAATTACAACCACCTCATGTCCATCAGAAAGGGACTGGGTAAATAGTGACATACTCATAGTTTGGAACACTGTGCAGACATTAAAACGATCTCTGTGCTGATGCGCAAGAATGCACACAGTAGACTTTGAAGTGGGAAGTTCAGATTCCAGAACAGTGTGCAGGATAGGTTTCCATTTTGTTTGAAATATTATACCTTGTATCTACAAAGATATATGGAAAACTACTCAGGGGTGGGTCCCACAGTAGCCTTTCTAGGGACTGGATGTTTAGCCCATGCAGACCTTCTAGGATCAGAATAAACGGCACACGGCCCTCGTCTGCACAAGGCCATGCCTTACTCAACAATCATCTTGGGAGTATGCAGCCGTCGGGGTCTGGGGGTCAACTCCCTGGCTCCTTATCCTCGTGGGACTTATATACTTAAAGAGGATTCAGACCTTAATATAGCCAATGGAAATCAATGTGGCAGGAGCTACTGGGGTCCCAGGAAAAAAGGGACCAGGGCTTACGAGGGTAGAACATCTGAGCTCCTCCCTTTCAACACTGTAGACTGCAGTGGCTTTTCTATTCTGAATCCCCCAAGCCCTGGACCACCTGCCTCAGCCTGTTTCCTCCCTCACAAAGATCTCTGTTTAGATTTGCTTCCCTTCTGCCACCTGGAAGCCCCTGAGGAGGGGGATGGGGGGTGCTGTCTCTTTGTCCCCATCCCCCTTTGAAAGTTGGGAAATGTTGGATGAGAGAACAGGGAAGGCAGAAGCTTATAGACTCGCCAGCCGAGCCTCAGCTGGATGATGGGTCTGTGCTTACAGGAGGGCCTGAGACCCCTCCTCGGGAGAGAAGGGGATTGGGGATGGTTCCTCGATTCCCAGGTGGAAACACACCCTCAAGCAGACCTCAGCTCAGAACCACAGGGCCAGAAGGGCCCTGGAGAGGCTGGTGGGCCTTGAGCCAAGGAGGCGGCAGAGGTGCAGAGCAGACTTGCCGCATGGTCCCAGCTCAGATCATGAACCTTGCCCTTTGGCCTTGTGGTGAAATCGGGGTGGAGGTTGGCATGGGGAAGATGTCAGCATCAGACCCCAGCGCTCCAGGGCTGCCCCTTCCCCCTCCCCCCAGCACCCCCCCAACCCCCAGGACCCCTTTCCTCCTCCCAGCCTGGTGTGGCTTCCCCACCTCTAGCCCCATTCCTGTCTCTGGTGTGTGGGCCAGAGTATGATGGTGGACTCAGGCTTGGGACAGAGTGGGCAGTGCTCACCAATGAAGTTTCCGAGGTAGAGTCCAGGAAGTACCTAGAGGAAGAAGGGGCAGGGGTCAGCAGCGCAGGGCCGTACCACTTCCCACCTCGGGTGTCTGGGAGACTCACAGCCCCGCTCTGTCCCATGAGGGTTCCTCAGGAGCAGTCGCTGAGGCTTGGGCCCTCTGTGAGAGAGTCTGGGGGCTCTGGGGGAGGTTGGGGGAGCAGGCCAGCAAGTTAACCAAGGGAGAGTCAGGCTTGGGGACCAGCGAGAGGGAAGAGGAGGGAGGCTTAGGGGACAGAGAGGGAGGGGACAAAGGGCCCAGGGGGAATGGGAGGAGAGCAGAGGAGTGGGCTGGGAGCCGGAGGATGAGGCCAGTGCAGGTGTAGGGCATGCAGGGGCCGGGTGGGGAGGGTCGGAAAAACAGCACCAGAGTCTGGGGAGTCTGGGAGAGGGACACAGCAAGACAGGGCAAGGTATCCCCGAGTCACAGCCACAGAGATACAGCAAGACACAGAGTCGCACAGAGGACAGACAGACACAGGCAGAGAGAGAGAACTCGCCGCGGCCTCGGAACCTCAGGGACACAGAGGTGTGGACACACAGGGCTCAGAGAGGGACCAGAAGGTCAGAGGCGGGCAGACCGACCTAGTCGCAGCCGGTGGCCTGCCGGAAGGGCTGGAGACAGCCAGGTGAGGGATGCGCGGTCGCCGCCCCCCTACCTTGGTCATGCCATTTCCCATGATCCTGGGGGCGGGGGTCGGGGCGCACCCCCAGCT